GGAGGAGGTGGTGGGAGGCTAATGAGAATGGGACTTCAGAGGGAAATTCTGTACTGAAAACTCCCGTTGTCATAAAAAATGCAGGTCATCCAAATTTTACTTTTAAGTACTGAACAGTGGCCAGTCAGTTGTGAGTTCAGAATTTTTTAAAAAAGTCAAGCAAATGTTGATGACACTGGGTTTAGAAAGGTGGTCACTGGGTGTGACCTTGAGCAAGACACGATAACCCCAATTCAATTTTTTTTTAAAAAAAAAAACATCAGGACGCTGCACAGTGACAAACAGCAATGGCATGTTTGCTGAAGCGTGCTGACAAAATGAGTTACTTCTCGCAATCCACAAACGGAAATTTGGCCAAACGTCGACACTATAGGGTCAGATTAGTAGATTTTCTATTGATGCCACATTCTTTTTGTATAACGATCCTTTTATTATTCCATACTTATAAATTGTTGAAACTTCGCCCAATAGCGTGATGTATCTATTTCCATAAGGCTTGAATCCAAGAAGTAACTCATTTTGTCTGCACGCTTCACATAATATTGTTTATTCATTGTTATTCTTCTGATGCATGTTTCATTCCGTATTTATCATGTATGTACCAATTCCATGTTCACCTTATTTTCCTTTGTAAAGTGTGACAGCTTCCCGAACGAAGACACACGCCGACAGCGATGAGGGGACATCCAGTGGTTAATGAGGTCTATGTCATGGCATGACTTGGACATGAGAGAGAAGGTGCTTGCTGCCTCATTACTCCAGTTACCCCTCACAAACGCATGCGAGAAACGCCAGTACCCAATCTGGGAGAAAAAGGGATCCATCAACACTTTTGGGAATTTCGCTTTTAGTAAAACAATTGAATCAGTTCACTCACTTGAACAAACAAAACTTATAAGTAAAAGATTTAAAAATTGAACACTTTTAGATTTTCGATATGTTTATAAAGTATTTACTCGGAGATGAAGAAAATATCAGAGTAAAGTTGTGTGTTTGAATTCCGTCAGAGGCTCGACATTACATCCTTGGGAAAGGCACTCTTCAAGAATTTTCATTGTTTTACCCATGTGGAAATGGGTACACGGCTATTGACAGTGAACAATCTTGCAATATAGTCTCTAGGAGTTTTAGTGTGTGTAACCCACTGCTTCCACTGTATATTCTAGGGAACCCGAGAATATGTTTTTGTCATACCTGAGGTCTTCCGGGGTATTAATAATTGAAAAGTGCATAGAGTATCCAGCAGGGCGTGGATATGTGCTAATAATTATTGTAATCATTACTCGAAAACTGCTCTTTACTCTAAGATATCGAATTTAAAAGAAAAAAAGGGGGGGGGTAGGAATAAACAGGGGGTGGG